CGAGTGAAAGTGTTTGGTGAAGAGATTCGAAGGTCGGTTCCACCAGAAGACGACGGCAAATTCCTACTGACAAGCTGTTGATTGGCTTTACTGGAAGATTTATGCTGACGCTGTTTCCGATGAAAAGGTGCTAAGCATTCGTCCGTCATAAGACGAACATCATCAGAGCAAAGTATCATCGTCACAACAAATTTTAAGCTAACAAGTCAAGAAAACCATTTGTGACCAGCACACTTATTAGAGTAATATAGAGGATGTGTATATGAGAAAATTAGCAAATTGTTCTGAAGTGGCAAATATAAATGAAAACGTCATTTATATTCTGGTTGGCCTTTCACAATAATATGGTTCTAGTCTGATATAATGATCTAATATAGTAACAGAAGTTAAATATATATGCAATATACCGCTTCTTCCCATTTCAACAGCATTTTATTGAATTAATATTACTGTAGCTTTTGATAGCTTGTGGAATTTTTATTAACTCTACATTACCTTATAACGGTGCATTCTTTTAATTTTTACTATAATAAATTGCTCTGCATTGGGATATGTTACTGCTTTATCACCTTTTTCCCTGCTTGTCACTCCTTGCACTGAGATATTTGGGGTACTCCTCCCTCACCCTTTATTCTATACTTGACCAAGGTCGTTTGAGCCCTATTAGTACGGAATATTACTTATATACTGGTGAGTTAAACAAGTTGCATTTATAAAATGATTGTTTCAACGTCAAATCCGTTTTGTTACCTCTAAGGAACGCTTGATTAAAGTAGCCATCAAGGGGTTTTTTTGTAGACTTAAATTCAATGGGAATTTTTCGTTGCCATACCTTCATTCGATGTCACCATAACCTTTAGTTTTATGTTAGCCATCCAGCATACTCGTTTAACACCAATTATAATAGACTAGGTCTTAGTCCTTTATGTGGCAAAATTTATCTGATTTTGATTTAATTCCTACAAATCTTTCAAATTAACGGTAAGTCCTGAAGGCTAAATAGTTATTTCTCTCTAAAACACCAGCAAATAGCCAAATAAGACTTATTCTGAACATTCTATGCAACTATTAATGACTAATGTCTGGAATTTTAATACCAATTATTAGTTGAAGACTGTCGCTTTGAATAGTACACATTGTGAGAGTAAATTATATATGTTAGGACAGTTAATGTTTGATATTAATCATACTTCTTGGCTGATATTTTAATATGCCGGAACTTTAAGTTAGAAATCATTTAGTCTGAGATAAGGAAGAGTATGCCTTTTCGACTCTTTTCTTTATTTGCTTTTGCGTATTCTCTCTAAAATGAAGAAGAAGCTTGTAAGAAGAATGGAATAAAAATGGTTTCTAAGCAAACATAAACATTATTTTAAGACTAGATGAAATTTTAGAAATAAGTGGCCAAATTAAACTCTGCTGATCTGGCTATATTATGCTAATAAGTTATTTGGCTTTTAAATAACCAAATCAAAGAAAGGAAAGAGATAAAAAATACAAAAATTATGACTACAAGTAAAATATGATAGTAAAACAAATAGGTATTAAAAAACGTTAGTATTAATGCAGAAATTCAATTTTAATCGGTTTTTGTAGAATAAGGAAGAATTGAAAGATTATGGATAAGATCTTATATTGCCTGATTAGTATGCACTGCTTTGATGAAAAAAACATAGAATATTTTTGAGCTAATCCAAAGAAGCTACCGACCTCATTATTAGTGGGACTTGACAATGTATCGGTTGTCATTCAGTAATCTTGTGCCTTTACTGGGTCTTGGAAGACTGAACGAGTAAAAACGCGGCATGGTGATTCGATTCCATATAGAGTAAATCTTAAATAGGCTTATCAACTATATACAGTTACTTTTAATTCTTACACACTTGACTTCGCATAATTGAGGCATTTGAATATATTTGTTGTCTTGAAACCCTACTTATAAAAGAAAAATGTAAATATTATGCAGAGACCCTGGGTAAAGGCGTATCTCAAGAAGGCGGCGTTAATATCTTGGTAAAGTCAAGTCGTATATTATTTAATTTTGAGCCTGCGGACGATGAAGAATCATAGTCCTTTTGGTCATTTGAGATCCAATATACTATCCTCAAAAGCAGATGGATGGGTCGTAAATACTCAGCAGCAAGGCTACGTTATGGGCAGTCGCGAACTTGATCGGCTGAATTTAATTACGTCCAAGTTAAGAGGATTGAAATAATGCCATGCACTCAAAATGTAATAAATAAAGGCAAGCCTCGAAGCCATCACAAAACAGCTCCAAAATAATTTATTCGTGCAGCTTATCTTATTTTAAGGAGAAAATC